GTCTTTCTACAATACTTACTATTGGCATCTAGGCAGTAGTGAACATAGAGCCAAGATTACTCCATACACTTCTCCTGCCACCAGCTGAGCTACCCACAGTCTCTTGTGCTTTTCCCCTCAAACTTGTTTTCATATTAAGAATGAAATATGAGTATGAAAAGAAGTAATTCTTCTACACAATCTTACTGGAAAGATACTATAAACAATTTCAGTCAAGTAGTGTGGATAGAAGATACTTCAAAAGACTGGGGTGAGGCAGGAGAAAAGAATCATGAACAAGGAGAAATCTGATTTATCCTATAAATGTCTTTAATTTCCTTCTCTACTATAAGAACTAGGGAAAATGAAATTAAATGACTAACAATTGTTAATGATAACTGAGCCCTTAATATGTCTCATGAATTAACATCTCATATATGTATATATATATCAAACTTGTTTAATCTTTGTAATTTAAGTCACTACTATTTTATTCCCATTTTACAAATGGCCAAAGCTAAGGTATAGTGAGTTGAAAGCTTTCTCAAGATTACAGACCCCTATACAGAGACTGACTTTAGTCCCACTTCGCTGCAGGAATAGACCACATAGGGAAGATAACATGGAACTCATAAAATTTTAGGTTTTCATCCTAAGGTGAGGCAACTAAATATTCAGTGATGGGTTTTAGGTCTCAGAAAATAAAAAGCTTGCAAGTTACCAGATTTTATGATTCTCTTGCTTTTAATGTGAAATAAATAACTTTGTCAAGTTTAAATATAAGACTAATCATAACTGCTAGAAGGCCTTGCCTTCTATAAAGAGACAGACAGCAAAATGGGACTTGTAACGTTCATATCATTGTAATAGAGTCACTGTGTGTGCTAGGGCAGGCGCTTCTATGATTTGATTGATGTCTTTTGAGGGGATCATCTGGTCCCATAGCTTAGATCGTTCCATTGTTATTCCATAGAGAATGGAGATTGTAAAACAGATAACCAGAAAGGAAAACTCGCTTAAGTAATACACCAAGTGCTGTATAAATGCTTCCCCCATCCTCTCCCTGTGTGTGTGTGTGGGGGGGGGGTCTGTGGGATCACATGGAGGCCAGAGGAGGATCTTGGGTGTCCTGCTCTATCACTCTCTACCTTATTCCCGTAAGACAGGATCTTTCGCTGTATCTGGAGCTTAGCTAGGGAGCAGTGAGCCCCAGTGATCGATCTTCCTGTCCCTGTCCCGTTCCAAGCCCACTCCACCCCATACCAGTGTGGTATTACAGGTGCCGGACTTCTTATGTGCATTCTCAGGGTTACTTTCTGAGCACTCTTCTACAGCCCAAATGTTACACCAATGTAAATGGTGATTTTGTTGCAGCTTGCATTTATTAATATGATATTCAATACTCAAATTAACACCCACTGAGCATCACTGGAGATACAGCATTGAACAGGAAAGGCTCGGGCTCTATCTTTCAGGCTTCTGTTCCAGCCAAGAGTAAGAATGTAACAAATGTGTGCACAGCAAATGAACTGTCATTGTAACATGTTATCAAACTGTGCAGGATACTATGAAAACATAATTGGTCTAATTGTGCTTGGAAGTGAAAATCCATAGAAATAAGCATGAAGATCTTGAGTAATGTTCATAAACTTTTTATTAGGTCATTTAGCCAACTTAACCAAAAGTGAAATTATACCCAGTTGACTAATTAACTCAGTGTTATTATTGTAACTCTGTAAAATATTCCTTGAAGCCTGTTACATATGGGCCTCTGTTCCAGGGACATAACATAAAGGTAGACAAGGTCTTTGTTGGATAAAAAAAACATGGACCCAGCCCATTGTGGGTGGTGCCATCCCGGGGCTGGTGTTAAGAAAGGAGGCTGAACAAGTCATGGGGATCAAGACAGTAAGCAGCACTCCTCCATGGCCTCTGCATCATCAGCTCCTGACTCCAGGTTCCTGACCTGCTTGACTTCCTGTCCTCACTGTTTTTCATAATGAACTGTTATATGGCTCTGTGAGTGACACTGAAACCCTTCACTCCTCAAGCTGCCTTAGGTCATCATCGCAGCAATAACAACCCTAAGACAGCTAGGGTGCACATTGGCAGGACACTTTCCTAGTATGGGGAGGGCCCATATTTGAACCCTAACAGTTCCCAAGAAGTGAGGTACAGAATCATCATTTCATTCAACATTTCCAGTCAAACTGGGCAGAAGAGTCAATGACTGTTAATCGAAACTCCTAAGTATTTTTATTACTGTGCAAATGATTAATTATTGATGGTGTAAGTATACTTTCAAGTAAATATGGCAGGTTAAAGCCTGAGTTGCTTTTTTTAACTGAAGTAACAAACTAAGGCATAGTTAGGTCACTAAAGAGAACAGGAAAAGTTCATATTTTTGTTCAAATGAACAAATTTGCAAAGGTAATTTAAAATTTAAAATGAAATATATTCTTCATTAAGTACTAGATATAAAAAAGGAAAGGGAAAACATTAAGTGGAAATTCTTGTAAGATCATAAACTATTCAAAAATAAAAGAACACCTACCATCTACCACTGAAAAAGTTTTTTTTACTGAGTAATTCAGTTTAGAAGGTTTATGGTATGAGGGTATAATATATGTATGTGTGTGTATGTATGTATGTATGTATATGAACAATCCTTAGTTTTTTTTTTAAAGGCAAACATCAAGGACAATTATATTAGCATGACTTTTATTGTAGGCTTGAGTACCCATCTCCCAGGAATTTGTTGATTAAAGTTAGAGGAGCAAATTCACAAGACATCTGATTCCTCTGGTACTTGAGCCCCATAAAGGTGGGAAAGCAGGCGAGCAAGGAACATGGACAGGTTTAAGTAGTTCTCAGCCTCTACGAGGAGCCTGGTTGAGCTGACCCTCCTCGGGGAGGAGGGAGTCCCTCTTCTCGACATGGAAAGCCTTCTGTTTGCTAGTCTGCTGGTGTCTTGCGGCGTCCACACCGCGCGGCTCCGGGACCCCACGCCCGCCTCGGGCCCCCGACGGCAGCGCAGGTTCGCGTTCCCCAGGCGGGGGCCGGGCTTCGGCTCCTTTGCCAAGATGGCGGCCGCGGCTCCCACCACGGAGGCGGCAGCCGGGGAGCAGCTCGGCCCAGGGCGCCAGCTCGCGGCTACGTTCTCGGCGGGCACGGCGGACGGCACGCCGGGCAGCGTGCCCACTTCCCAGCCACGGAGGGGCGTCCGACCCGGCCGCCACGGAGCCCCTCGGCCAAGATGGTGACGGCGGCGGCGGCGTCACCGCTCTTTACCAAGATGGCGGCGGGAGGCTTCCGGCACGCGCTGCGCCAATCGGGGACCGCCGGGAGGGAGGCCCGGCGCGGGCGGGCGGCCTTGGGGTCCGAGGGCGGCGCGAGCGGCTGCCGTCGCGCACCCAGGCGGGGCGGCGCTGGAGTCGCGGCGGCGTCCGCTCGTGTCCCGAGTGCCAGGCGCTGTCCCCGGCGCGGGCGCCCGAGTGACTTCCCCACGGCCCCGGGCCCCCAGGGCCGGCGCCCCGCGCCTGTCCCCCCGGCCCCCCGCCACGTGTTTCTGTGCAGACCCGGGGGCGCGTCCCGGGAACGGCTGCAGGCGACTAAACGCTGACGTCTCAAAGCCTGACAGCCGCGTGTCGTGTCTGATTTGAGGAGCAGGGGGAGGGACGGCGGGGGGGTCCCTGGAGCCCCGAGGGCTGGGGCTGCGGCGCTCCGAGCCCGCCCGGGGCAGCAAATGTCAAGCCTCGGGGGCGGGGCGCTTGGACGCGGGCCCCGGAGCGGGTGGAGGGAGGAGAGGTCAGGAGTTTGGGGTGAGAAGAGGGCGGACTTCTCCAGCAACTTACAATTCCGTCCGCAACTTGCCTCCCGCTCCCCCGTCCCAATTTCTAAAGTGCAAAGAAACCCTGCTAGCTAGAGGTTTTGCATTCGGCGTGCAACTTCCTCCGAGTGAGAGCGCGCTGGCAGCCGGGGAGGGAGCGGTGGGGGTTGAACTTGGCAGGCGGCGCCTCCTCCTGCCGCCGCCGCCGCCGCCTCCTCCCCTCAGACTCGGGGAAGAGGGTGGGGGACGGTCGGGGCGCGGGGGAGGGTGGGTTCTGCTCTGCAACTTCTCCCGGTGCGAGCGAGCGAGCGTGCGAGCGCGCGCACGGCGGCCGCAGACGGGGCCGCCCGGACGATGCGGGGGTGGGGGACCTGGCGGCACGCGAGTCCCCCCGGGCTCACAGTACGTATGCGGGGGGCGACCCTCTCCTCCGCCCTCCCCTCCCCAGCCTCCCCCGGAGGGCGTGTCTGCCGTCCGGCCCCGAGAGCGGCCACTCCGCAGCCCCTCCGCTGCTTCGGTGACACACTTCGCGCAACTCGGCGGTTGGCGGGCACGGACCACCCCTGCAGCCCGGCCGGCCGCCTGTCACCCTCGGGGAGCGCTGGCGGCGGACCCCACGGGGCGGGTTCCCCAGCGGCTCCCAGCGGCGGAGCTGGGCGGGGGCGGGAAGGAGCCCAGGGAGAAGAGAAACTAAAGAAACTCGCTTTCCCTCCGCGCGGCCAGGTCGGCACCCGCCGCCGCCGCACTTTTGGCTCTCCCCTCGGGTGGAGAAGGCGATGCCCGGGAGCCGCGGGCTGGCAGGCGCCGTCGGGGCCGGGGCGGCGGGGCCCGCGCGCCGGGCGAAGGGGGGACGGGGGCCGCGGGCGCCCTTGCAGTTGCCGACCGTCGCCAACAGGTTGCACCGTTCCCCGCGGCCGCCGCGCGGCCCCTCGGGCGGGGAGCGGCCGGGGGTGGAGTGGGAGCGCGCGCGCGCGTGTGTGTGTGTGTGCGCGCGCGAGTGTGTGCGCGCCGTGGCGCCGCCTCCGCCCGCCCCCCGCTCCGTCCCGCTCGCCCGCCCGCCCGCCGCGGCCGGGCGGCCCTTTCGCGTGTCCGCGCTCCCCCCACCCCCTCCACCTCCGCCTCCTCCATTTTGCGAGCTCCAGTCAGTGCCTGGAGCCCGAGTCGCCGCCCGCCCGCCCGTCGGGGACGGATTCTAAGTGGGTGGAACGAGACGCCGCAGCCCGGCGGCGCGGCGCCCGGGACGGGGGGCGCGCGCGGGAGACGGGAGCGGCGCGGGGCACGGCCTGTCAGCCGGGAGCGGGCGACTCTCCGCGCGCCGGGGGCTCCCCCTTCCCCATGAAGGAGTGGGGGCGACTGTGGACTTCCTCCTCCGTGACACGCGCGCCTCCCGCCCGCGTCCGCACGCCGACTTGTTTATCTTGCTGCGGTGGGAGCCGCGGGCGAGCGGGCGAGCGCCGAGGTGAGCGGGGGCTGGGCGACGGGCGCCCGCGCTCCCCCAGGGGCTCGGCTGCCCGGGCGGCGGGACTTGGCAAACTTTTGTCAGCCCGGGGGTTGGGGGTGGAGGCTGGCGAGGGCAGGGTGACGGTGACGAAAGGACCTCGGCGGTGACAGCGCCGGCGCTTCCTCTCCCCGCACCGCCATCCGCTGCCCCGCGGTGGAGCCTCGCGCGCCCCGGCCGGCCGGCGGGAATCGGGCGTCCTTTTTTGGTGTGGCTGTTGCCGCAAGCCGCCCGGGTCTTGGCTGTCCTCGGGGGCCGCCCGGACAGCCGCTTCTCCCGGGGCGGGGAGGGTATGCGAGCCGCGGGCTCAGGGCGAGCGGCTGCGGGCTGCGGGCTGGCGGGGTGGATTCGGGGCTCGCAGGCTGCAGCCCAGACTTCGCCCGCCCGCCCGGCCTTATCTGCTAGAAGTGGGCGTGCCGCAGAGAACTCAACAGGTCTGGACACATTTCTCCCTTCACCCCGCACCTTTCTCCCTCCTTCCCCCCCACCCCCACCCCGACGGCTTGTGCACCAGCTTTGGGGCGCGATCTCGCGCCCGACTTTTCTCAGTGGTCCCCTTTTAGAAAGATCCTCCGTAGCAGCGGTTTGGGGCTTGTGCGTGCGTGTGTTTTGTTTTTGGTGTGTGTGTGTGTGTGTGTGTGTGTGTGTGTGTGCGTGTGTGTGTGTGTGCGCGCGCGCGCGCGCGTGTGCAGCGATTTTTGACAAACGCTGCTTGGAGGTCGGAGGCTTGAGCATCAGCCTGGTCTTTCCAACGAAGACCCGACTGATGTCCCAGGGTTGTTTACAGTTTTAGTTGGGGGATAAATGTCGCTTAAGGGAGCATCTCGTTTTTATGAAGTATTGTTACTGTTTCGGGCTTGAAAGGTAGCTGTCAAAAAACCAGGTGTGGAAATTGATTAGGGACCATTTGATATCTCATGTGTAGAGATCCTTATCAGATGCATCAGATGCATGGGGGCAGGGGTTCTGAGAGAGAAGCCAAGTACAGGAAGATTTCCAGGGCAGGTCCCACCCTCTCCACCTTCCTCATGTTCCCCTTTCAGCGAAGATGGTCATACTTCTTAGTGTCTTGGTACAAGAAAAGTTTACCGTTTCATGGGAGGGAATACCAAATATACTAATCGTTTTCTTTGCCAGCCTCCTAAAACATTTTGTTTATTAGTAATATACTAACGACCTGGAGAATTCAGTTGAAATAAAGGTTGACAACTGCAGAGAAAATTATTCTGAACATTCTCTTGGATGGGTTTTATTCGCATTTATATGTAGTCCCACAGTCCAGTTTTTCTATTTTCCCCAGTATTTCCATATTTGGAAAGAAAAAAATCTTAAATCGTGAGGTTAAATATTTTGTATTGAGTGCATTAAACAATTTTAGAAAGAAATATAACTCAATTTTGGTGTTAGTTTTGATAAGTCTGCTCTATTTAATTATTTAAATAAGTTAAAACTGTAGTGAAGAACCCAGTACAAATTCTGCTCTGCTTTTTAAAATATACGTTTTAGGCTATAGACAGTATATATCATTTCTTATATCAACATCTGAAGGTAGATGCTACTGAGCAGGCACATCTGGTTGCAAATGGACTTTAAAAATAAGAGCATTTCCGTAGCCTATAACCAGATAAGCAAAACAGCACTGCTTATTTTTTCAAATAAAATGTGCATATTTCTCCAGGAGGTTGTACCTTGAAAGGGTTAGATGTGGGGGGATTGGCACAACGTGTAATTGAATTATGAGGTGCAAACAATTATATCGTAGCATTTATTAAGTGTCTTATGTGGTGGTTTCCAGAAAGGCAATCACCCTTGATTGAAAAGGGGTTGAAATTTTGAAGATCTTACTTAAAAAAAAAGTTAAATACTTTGACATCAACTTGAACCTTTAGAATAATCATGTATAGCAAATTACAATTCCTATGGTTGCCAAAGCTACACATTTAATGAGCAGGATAAACAGTCAAATTCAAATCAATTTCAGTATAACTTAGTTCTTGCAAATGAACTGCCTTGTGCCTTTTAAATGTAGCACACTGTATGGGAGCAGGGGATATAGCTTTATTTTAGAAAATAGAGACCATCCTTCTGATAGTGGAGACTTTGATTTAGGAGTTACCTAAAGGGTTCATTTAATAGGCTGGCTCTCACTAATCGGATCAGAGATAAGTGGTTTTTATAGCTTATTATGTCCTCTCTCTCTTTTTTTTTTGTAGTTAATATTTGCCAATGGACTCCAAAGAATCCTTAACCTCCCCTGGTAGAGAAGTGCCCAGCAGTTTTGTCCGGGAGAGGGGAAACTTGATGGACTTTCATAAAAGCCTGAGGGGAGGAGCTACTGTGAAGCTTTCTGCATCCTCGTCCTCGCTGGCTGCTGCTTCTCCCACAGACTCCAAGCCACACAGGCTTCTTGAGTTTCCAAAAGGCTCAAGTAGCAATGCGCAGCAGCCAGATTTGTCCAAAGCCGTTTCACTGTCCATGGGACTGTACATGGGAGAGACAGAAACAAAAATGATGGGAAATGAGTTGGGATACCCACAGCAGGGCCAGATTAACCTTTCCTCTGGGGAGACAGACTTTCGACTTCTGGAAGAAAGTATTGAAAACCTCAATAGGTCAACAGCCAGTGTTCCAGAGAACCCCAAGAGTTCAGCGTCTGCTGCTGGGTGTGCTACCCCTACAGAGAGGGAGTTTCCCAAAACTCACTCTGATGCATCTTCTGAACAGCAAAATCTAAAAGGCCAGACTGGCACCAACGGTGGCAGTGTGAAATTGTATACCACAGACCAAAGCACCTTTGACATCTTGCAGGATTTGGAATTCTCTGCGGGGTCCCCAGGTAAAGAAACAAGTGCAAGTCCTTGGCGGTCAGACCTGTTGATAGACGAAAACTTGCTTTCTCCTTTGGCAGGAGATGATGATCCATTCCTTTTGGAAGGGGATGCAAATGAGGACTGTAAGCCTTTTATTTTACCGGACACTAAACCTAAAATTAAGGATACTGGAGATCTGACCTTACCAAGCCCCAGCAGTGTGACGCTGCCCCAAGTGAAAACAGAAAAAGACGATTTCATTGAACTTTGCACCCCTGGGGTAATTAAGCAAGAGAAACTGGGCCCAGTTTATTGTCAGGCAGGCTTTTCTGGGACAAATATAATTGGTAATAAAATACCTGCCATTTCTGTCCATGGTGTGAGTACCTCTGGAGGACAGATGTACCATTATGACATGAATGCAGCATCCCTTTCTGAAGAGCAGGATCAGAAGCCTGTTTTTAATGTCGTCCCACCAATTCCTGTTGCTTCTGAGAACTGGAATAGGTGCCAAGGGTCTGGAGAGGACAACCTGGCTTCCTTGGGGACGATGAACTTCCCAGGCCGATCGGTGTTTTCTAATGGCTATTCCAGGTAAGTTAATGCTCTTCTGCTTCATAAGAATGATGCGCTGAGGATAGTTTGATACATTTTAGAACTCATTTATCAGATTGTGTTTTCTAGAGATTTGTATACTTTTTCAAGTAACTGAGTAGAAATGGTCTTTTGAAAGTAGGTGTGTTAGAAAATCTAAAGGAGCAGAAACACTTTGGTAGTTTGATTAAATAGTAATAGTTTCTCACTGGTCAGTATTGAAGATTTCATGTGAAAACTTTAAATCAGAATTGTTCAATAACAAGTATCTTAAGTAAAGCTAACATGTAGTCAAGAAAAATATGATGTCTAGTCATGTAATGCATTTATTGTGCATATTAGCTTTACTGCTTTAGAATACATTATTACAAGAATTAGTTACATAGTTAAAAGTTGCTTTTAACTGTGTGAAGTGTTACCTTGCGGTAAAAGGGTTAAGAATTGGGAGTAGTGACACTGAGCCCTGTTACTCCACCTGAACCTTCTGAGTTTCTCACTGTTAAAGCAACACAGTGTGTCCTGACCTAGACTATAGCTTACAGTAGCCTAAGGTTGACAATTGGCACCTGCTTACCAGCCTTTTCTTAGGAACTGGTGCATGATGCTTTCAGATGGTGCTGTAGATAATCCGGTACGTAGCTCATGATGAGAATTTTCAGGGTTCAGTTAGTAAGCACCGTGTATGTCTTTTTTCTTCTCAGGTAAGTTAGACATATACTGACATTTCTGTCTGTCCTCACAAAGGTCTGCTAGAATAAAGTTACCGGAAAAAAAACTCATAAATATACTGGTAGGCTTAGGTTCCGTACCTTGTACCCTCATCTTCAAGTCATGTAAATGCTAGCTTGTATATCTATTTTAGGTGTGAAGGAAAAGAAAATGTGGGCTGTAGTGATACAAGGGGGTTTGTTTTGTTGTTGAGGAAGAGTCCTTTCTTCCTTTCTTACCCATTCATGATCTTCACTGTTCCTATTAACTATTCCTTTGAGAGGGTTTTACTTAAAACTCATAGAAAGAATGTTTTCAGTGTCATCTTTCACTGAGCTGTTACATCCTTACAATTCTTTAATGTTCCTTTTCTCTGAAGGTTATCTTGACATTGGCATACAAAAAGGCATCTCTTTCCTCCATGTGTAGGAAGTTTATACTGGAGAAAAATTAGATCTAGACTATGATATATTTTTCTAAACAATTTAATTATAGCTTATCAAGAGGGGAAAAAATCACCTTTGTTCTTGTTTAGCCTAACAGATAGGTAGTTACTATTTGTACTGGCTATTAGTACTGACTACTAATCTAGTACTCAAAACAATCTATAGTCTCTTATATTGGGGAAAACTACTGCAGCATTTCAACTTTCTTTTCTGAATTAGAGGGTTAAGATATTTTCAACAAAGAAATTTAAATAGTTTCTTATTGCATAAACTATGTTTTTCAATTGTTAAGAGATGTGCTGTTCTTTAAATTTTGCAATCTTAAGTTTTTGACAATAGGTTTCGTGTCGTTGACTTTCATAAAAGAGTAATTACAGTTGATTTGATTATCTATAGAGACCTATTAAAATGATTTATCAACATGTGGTTACATAAGGAAAAACAATACATTTAGGAAATTCCTTGCCCTGAAAGCCATGATAAATTTTTCACTTTTTATTATAAGAGAAAATAATGGAACCAAACTTGCATGCTCTATGAGTTTTCATTAAGACTTGTAAAATCTGGGATCTGAACAATAAGTCTTACCCTTAAATATTCAATAATTATAGTGTTTTAACGTTTACACCTACTTCAGGGCATATAAGATGTTATGTTTTGTTGAGCCTCTGCCTTTACAAGGGTAGGCAGAGCTGTGACGATGTGTGGCTCTTCAAGGTTCTTTCGGGTCCAGGAAGTGATTAATTTTATACCGACATATGACTTGGATTTTAATCACTGGTGTCTTTTAGCACTGTAGAGGACCCTAACTGGTCATAGGCAGTGCTTGAATGTTTTACACTTAACACTGGGAACTGTGATTACACAGAACCAAAATCCACCCAAGTAAATTGGGACAATGTTTCCTTTCTGACCATTGTTGAATTCTTCTATTGTTTCCACGCAGCAGCCCCGGCAGAACTAAAATTGGTTGCTCTCTATATATGATGCATGGTGGCTGCCACAAATTAGCTATGGTCAGTGACCCTGAGTCATCAGCCACTAAATCAACATGCTGAGGCAACAGCTTCATAGAACACTCTATGACTCTAGATAGAGAAATAGTAATGCCACTAGTAACATCACTTGGATTTTTTTAAAGCATACTTTCTAATTTGAATTTTTTAATAACTAAAAATTTTCCCCCAGAATGCCGATTTAAAATTATTTCATATTATATTTGGGGAGAAGGCAATTTCTACAAATATATCCGTTCTCCATGACATCAGTTTAGCACATTAAATTGTAAAGTTAGGAATATCATGATTAAGATTTTTTTGTTTGTTTGTCTTTAAGGTTTAAGTTCTTTGGTGGTAAAACCAGGTAATGGTTACTGGCGTGCAGGTCCATTTTTAGTAAAATGAACTTCCAATTCTAACACGTTAAAATTCAGTGAGCTTAACAGAAGCGTAATCCAAGCAGGTGTGCTCCTG